TTCCTCGCCTAAATTCCAATTACTTGGGGTCGGCCACCCTTATCCTAAATTTCCATTGTTAAAAAAAAATTAAACCCACTAAATTATAATAATCGTACTATAATATAATATATTTTATTTTATTTTTAAATTATAAACGGGTAAAAAAAAACCCTTTAACATAATGCGATAGAATAAATACAATAATTTCTTAGTTTAACATAAATTAAATGAAAAAATACAATTTTAACTAAATACTATCAGATTAATAATAAACAATTAGATATAAACAAATTACAATACACAATTAAGATAATGCATTATAAATATTCAATTTGAAGACGTCACGAGACATATAGAAAAAATCAACAATGTTTAAAATTTTATTAGCTAACAATAGGACCCGAGGAAAATATGATGATGAGCTATAATTAGTGGTACAGAAAGGAACATGAAACAGTTTAATAACTCTAAGGTTTATTTGACTAGTTCTAAAGCCAACCATTGAAAGTAACTCTGGGCAATCTACATAACCATTTAGTAAGTCATATAAAAACATAAGATCACTAACTCTTCTTCTAAGTTTACAAGATGAAATACCTAACTGAGTAGAATGTAAATAATATGAATCCCTAGAAAGACTAATATTCAATTTAAAACAGATAGATTTCGTTTACTTGTATTGGACATTTTCTAATAAATTAATGTAAACAGCATAATTAGGGGACCAAACTAAAGAACCATATATATAATTAATTCACAAGTAAGACATCAGTATCCAATGTCTGTTTTTAATTTGTTTAAAATAACGTTCACTAGTGTTGAAAAAGTGTTTTGTAGACAATAATAGTTAAAAATATGTTAATTATTAATAAATTAGTTTACTTTTCTTCCATTTGAATCTCTAAAAGTAGTCAAATTGGATTTGTTAATACGCTTACCATAGAAATTATAAACTAATAGGGGCACTTTATATAACTGAAGACTAAAAAACCTTACATTGTACTGTATTGTTAAAGAAGCAAACATAGCTGAGAATATGAAAACTGACAAATTCACAAATAAAAAAAAATATGAAGTAAAGGAGAGAATCAATAATACATTAAACTCAAAAATAATTTATTTAAGAATTGAAAAATGAACATGTGTTATCGGTAAAAAATTTAAATTACGGCATTCGACAACAATTCTAAATACATTTATTTTAATGTTTTTGAAGATTAAAAAAAACTATTTAAATGATTTAGAAAATCTGCAAGACGAAGTTTGGATGACCTAAAAAACACTAAGTTAATGTAAGTTTATCAATAAACAACAACGTAGCACATATTGAAATTAAAAAAAATTTCAAGATCAAGATAGAATCGCAAAAAGTATAAATTCAATTTAATTCTGTATAAGTAATTCATTGGTATATGAAGTTAGTTTTTAGTTCTTTTAAAATAACGACCACTATAACACAATGAATCTTAACACACGACTTTTCTTAAAATAACAATAATTATGTATCAAAATTATTTTTGATAAATTTAATTGTATATATTCCTTAATTTATCAGTTATTAGTAACTTTTTTAAATCATAACTGTGTTAACTTTATTTTTTTTAATGACNATTATAAACTAATAGGGGCACTTTATATAACTGAAGACTAAAAAACCTTACATTGTACTGTATTGTTAAAGAAGCAAACATAAATGTTGTCGTAATATGCACAAATGCTTTGCATTACTCATCTTATATTTATGAATGAAAAAATAATAATCTATATTTAATATCGAATGTATACAAACAAATAATAATTATTTATCTGTCATACCATATACACTGCTGTACACTAATTATTCTATATTTATATACATGTAAAATTGATAATTATATACTATGCATCTTATTTTAAAATAATAATCATGTTGTGTTCAATTTAATACAATTAACTGAAAATCACTAAAAGCGCTGACGACAACATCTCATGATGAATGTAATTAAAAATAATATAAAAAGAGGCTGATTTTCTAAGAGAGATCACTTTTGAAGCTCAGAATTCAATTTAGAATTTTATTTGTGTTGTCGTCGGTACATATTAGAGCAACGCTTATTTACATTTCTACGTATAAAACTAATTTATTTATCTTTCCGAAAATTAGGAAGTTTATAAAGCTATCATTAAAAAGAACGTTGGTCATTTAACATTTTGAAATTAAATCACAAAGTAAGTAAATTTATATTAACCCAATTATTTAAAATTAATAATTCGAGTAAAGAACAGTAATGCAATAGTTTGATTTAAAAATAATTTAATTTACTTATTAATAACTAGTTAGTGCTCATATATTTAGGTCATATATTTCGACTGGGTAGCAGAAAGGAGGAGGCCTCCGACACCCCAAGAATGCCTCAGCATATAATACCTATGTAAGAGGAACTTTTATTATTTCTTTTATATCTACTTGTCTTTATTATTCTACACCCTCGGACTCAACAACCCCGATAGAACCTCATTACTCACGAATTGAGCAAATCCGCAAATATCCAAACTTGGTCAAATACCCACATACACCCACTCCATATACGCTTATTTTTATAACTACAATATTTAGATAGCTATAAAATAAAAAATAATCCATTTAAAAAATGACTACCCGTTAGCAACTTTTGATCCTTTAATCGTAAGTTTTAATCATTTTAAAATATTGTCTGGAGGTGAGGCGCAGATAAGACAACATATATAATTAAACATTTTTCGCCCGCACTTTCCTAAATATAAAAATGTTAATAACATTCGAAGTACTGGTCTAAAAGTTGTTATCAACCTGTCATTTTCTTAATTAAATCATTTTTTATTTTATAAGCTGGTTTCATATGTATGTTGCCATTTAAACGACTAAAAAGCACCCTTAGAATTACCTTATAAATAAAAAGGAATGAATTAAAAAGTAATGAACTGATTAACCAAGAAATATATGAAACTAAAATATACTAAAAATAATATAACAATTAATTTTGTTATATGAGAAATTGAGTGGCTAACGTTAAAAGAATCACTCTGTATAATGGTAACTACATTAAGAAAAGGTTTGAAGTATGCTAACATTCGAATATTACACTTTCAATAATATACTTTATGAATCCTGAATCGGCCTCCTAAAATATGTAAAGTAGACTCTGATTAGAACATAAATATATAATCATTAATTATTTAAGAATTATAGTTATACAGTATAATGCTCATTTAACTTCAACTTAGATTTTTATATTATCTCAAGATAAAAATCGATAAAAAACTTACAAGAGATGATGTTGTCAAGATAATTTTGAAGGGATCGCGTTTATCGACTAAATACTAAATGTATTGTTTATATGCTTATTTATAAAACAACATGTGCACTATTATGTAGACCTCTTTTTTTATTTGTGAATAATATGAATTAAAACCAAAATAAAGAAGTACATAAGTAATTTAAAAGTGAATTTTCTGTATTAAGTAAGAAAAATTTCCAGTAGATGTTTTAAATATAACATTCACGTATAAAAAAAACTGATACCTAATATCAAACAAGAATGGCTTGAACACAATTACAAATAACTATTTTATCTTCAAACACCTCACTGTATTTATAACAGTTTATATTTTTTAATAATAGGAGTGCTCAGAAACATATTCTAAAGCTACCACGAATAACAATGTTTATTCTCAAGATGCATCAAATTTGAAACAACTTCTTTAGCGTTTGAACAAGACTAAAAGCCACGTTAATTAGACCAAAATTACGAGTGCACAATCATTTTCTGTAAACAGTGTTTTCAAAAGTTATGGCCTACAACGAGGCAACTTGATGAGTTCAAGTGTTTACTACAACTCTTAAGCCAAAAGGCAATTCTTACAATGGCCCACATTACGTCACCTGCGACCAAAAATTAAAATCTGAATTTTCTGTATAAATGATTTTAATTTTATTAACCGATTAAAATTACCATGAATTTAGTTAATATTTTGGAAGTTGTTGTAATCAGATAATAATAATAAAAAGCATAATTTGTTCTTCCGTGTAGATCATTCATTCTCTGGTATGAGTACATAGCTACATCGGGCGCAATAAGTGTTTTTCAGGAGAACATAACTTTAGAATTAGCGTAATAAAATTATAGTAAAAAAATTAATTAATAAAAAGAAAACGCATGAGCCCAGGTCTGAGACTCTGAGATAACAGATATTAAAAAATATTCAGAATTCAAACATTTTCTTTTAGGTATCCTTTGAATTTCACATATTTACTTATTTACATTTTTTAGCTAAATTATATATTAACATACTAAAATTTCAAAACTAATTTACTTATTTCTACTCTTGACATAATAATCTCAATCTAATAATCTCTCCTTCTACAGTTTATATAAATGAAATATAAAATTTCACATAAGTACTATCTATGGATTTTAAAAATGATAAAATCTATGGAATTTTTCAAGAGATTATAGAATTTTAAGAATATATTTTGCACCACTGTTCATAACATAATATATTATTATGACATGATAATATATCATATTTTAGCATATTATGTGTTAACTGAATATAAGTGTTACAAAAAATCCAGTATTATCATTGTTGGCCATTACAATAAAAATAATAGCATAAATTTATATAAATTAATTATAAAAGGTTAATGGTTTTATGATTTTCGAAATCGCTACTGATCATTATATATTTTAAAATGCTGAGTAATAAAATAATCATCATTCAAATGGTAAGCGAAATATGCACTTAAAAATGTTTTTTGGTAAATACATAAGAAAGGTTAAGTACTGTCTTTGCAGTCATACATTTTTTATTGAACATTATTGAACTGAACTGTTCTTATTGTATTGATTTTGGAACTGTAGGGCGGTATTAATTATGAAGGTGTTTATACAAATCAAACTAACAAATCAAAATACAAATTAAATTCTTACCATACCATCATTATAATATTCTATGTTTTTATAGTATTTTTTGTGATAATGCAATCATTGTATATATACCTTAAAAGCTCCAACAGCGTGTGCTCCATCATAAATATACAGATGATCGTTACAGTCCAATTGTAATCTATCAAAGTGCATCATAAACCTCTGTAATACAGAATGTGTTTGAAATGTAGTTACACAGTCAAGATTTCGCTCGTTTTGTGAATCCAACACTGCACCATCAATTTTTCTATAAACCTGTTGTAGAAAATGTGCTTTGCAAACTGTTTTCATTTCATCTATAAGGAAAAAAATAATTCTTTATTACTATAAACTATTTTTATTCTTTAAATATTTATTTATACAAATGAGTTTCATATGAACAATTATGAAAAGAATTAGAAGGATATAAAACTCATACCACTGGCTAGAAACTTGAAAGACAAAATTAGAGTACATTAAAGGTACTGTATATACAAATGATACTATACATTAAAGTAAAATATACATTTTTGCCTAAGATTTAAATTATTTTAAACATATTCAATGATAAATTAACAAAATTTGTCATTTCAATTGATATATTCTTAAATATAAATTGGTTTGACGATAAAAACAATAATTTTTTAAAAATGCACATCTTTCTAACTACAAGCTGCTTTTATATGAAAGTATGAAAAAGTTTGACAAACAACAATTGTTTTATAACTTTTTAGTGAAAGAAAGTATAAAAATAAACTATTTATAAAATTTAAAAACAGAGAAAAAAAGTACTAGAAAATAAAATTTTTTAGATTTTACTATTTAATTTATTAAGATTAAATTAAGTTAATTTAATCCAATTAACCTTGATTTATAAGTTTTACCTTGAAAACGGTACTTGATTCCAATATAATATAATATAGTAATATCATTCTACAAAGCATCGACATTTTTTCATGAAATCAATGAAATAATATTTATTAAAATCCTTTGATGTTTTTATAATATTATTAATCTAAAAACCTAGTCAATAGAAATAGAGTTAATAAATACTTAGTTTATCATATCGTTGTTGAATTTTTACTATAAAAAATGCAATTATCCAATTTAAGAACCAGATAAATTATTTTCTTCTAGTAGTTAAAAGTAAATTACAGTTTTATTAGACTGACCACGAGCGTCTATAAAGATTTAAAACATTTTAGAATTATTTACTTGTAGACACATCGAATTTAAAACGACTTTTATTCAATAATATTAACTTTGCACTATTAGAAAACATATCGTGCCTTAATACAAAGGTATCAGAATTTGATTTACTTATAACACAAGCAATGACCTAAAATCAAAATAACACAGAAACAAAGCTCAACAAATAAACTGAATACCACCGAATGGTTTCACAAATAACACAACGTATTTAAAATGAATCGAAAACTGCAACGAGTTGCGATTTTGTATTATTTTATAACAGTACCTACCTATTAGTGGCTCTGAAATAATAAGTTTTAATAAAAAAAACAATCTCATTGAATAGCAAAACGAAAATAAAACTGCCTTCCCTAATCTTTTGACAATCATACGTGGCGTATTTCACTTCAATGATCAAATGACCTTAAAATCGATTTAAAAAAAGTATGTGCTTTGATTGGGGTGGAAAAAAATGAAAAATATAACGATGTCATTATTTAGTTCATGCCGTCTTGTTCTGAAAGTATTGATTATCGAACAGCAGCGTGTGATTTTATTTATTATCGTCGTTATTAGACATTTTCTTTGACCCTGCCGTTTTTGACTTTCGCCTCAATCTTAGGGTATGTACATGTTTTATAATAGAGCAACACACACATTTCACTTTTCCACCCGTTGCGCCAGTCTAAATGCACTCGCCCATCCCTTTCCTCCGTCCTATGGACTCTACCGATACCATACGATACGGTCGCTTTTACGAGAGGCTAATGTATTTTCAAGCGGTCACGGGATTTTCAAGTCGATGTGTGTATATATATTTATTATTTACCGCCTCGGTTGCCTCGTGTACACAAGCAAATGCTTGGAGGGGAAGAAAAAAATATCGGAATTCGATCGGGTGCAGTTCAAACACTCAAATATAGTTTCTATATTTTTATTTTTTCTCATAGTAATATTATTTTATATAGTATATCAACGAGAATTTCTCCCTTGGGGACCCTATAAAAGTTTGCTTAAAAGGTTACCCCTAGTATTTCCTTATAAACAGTTAGGTTAGCGTTTAAACGACTATAATTATATACCACGTGTGTAGCAGTTTATTGTATTAAACGCGAAATTGATGGAAGGCGACCAGCAACTAAATCGTTGACTTTTAGAGCTACAAAAAGATTAACTATTTACACAAAAAGGAAAACACATTCAAGTCAATATTAACTGTCGGGACATCCGTTCACTACAATGGAAACGCCATATCGTCATACTGAAGGAATCTGAAAGGAATCGATTTGATCTCCCTGCGTCTGCCGTTTCTGATTTGTATTCATAGCCATCGAACGTATCAAAAATATTACCATAAAACGATTTAAACGTTTTTTTCACCAGTAAATCGGTCAACGGAAAACCAAAAATATAATTTCCTTAGAAATCACCAACGCATTGTGTTCATAAATAATCCAAACACAGTCATGTATATATTGAATTCTAAGCTTCACATATCCTTAAAAAAGTAATGCTTGAGATTTTATAATTCGAAATAAAAATTCTTTATTATTTATTTTATTTAAAAAATAATAGTTTTTATACTTAATTGAATACATAATAAGTATTTATAAGTTATTCGTTAAATAAATATTATTATTAAGTTAAATTGTTCAACTGGATTTCTCTGTTAAACTCATTTATTCAATTTAAAAGATCAAATACCTTGTAAAGACATAAACAAGTTATTTAATTCTACCTAAAACAACAATAAACAATTTTATAGAACTATTTCTTCATTGTGATTTTCGTTTAATGTCTCAAACAAACAGCTTTAATAATCTCCATCATGAGATTTACTTTCAATTCGACAATTCTACAATTGTTTTTCCGTCTTAACTTGATTGAGCATCTGTTACTTTTTTGTTTATGATTTCAGTAAATGGTAGCATTAATTAACTTTGTTTTATACAAGCTTATTTTCACTTATACAAAAGACCTAAAAAGGTCATAAAAATATTTAAATCCGAACTTTTTACAATACCTCTAAAAAAAATTGCTTTGTGCGTTTCAAAGAAACCCTCATGAGATATTCAAGTATGTCGTAATATATGCACAATATCTTTTTAATTTTAACATTCTATTCATATTTAACATACTTACGAAATTCACTTAAAGCTTAAGTGATATTGTCAGTTGACTTTATCAATAGTGAAACAACACTTAGTTATATGATTTTTTAAAGCCAAAAATCTAAATTAAACTTAACTGATAAAATCTCTTATTAATAATCTGATCAATTAGAAAGAAATCTAATGGAGAAAAGTATTCGATTTCATATTAATTGATTTTATTGGTCACAATAACAAAAGATTTTTGTTAAGTCTCGTACAAAATATAGATGAGTTACATTTTTGTAGAAAATGTATTATGGTAAGAAATAAATCCAGAAAAATTAGCGTTTTCTTTTACAAAAATGATAAATACATACATATTTGTATGTGATGCTAAAGTACAACAAATTCATAATTTCAAATTTAAATTTATTTTCAATGACAATAAAATTTTAAAATAAAGATTCTGAAAAGTTCTTTAAAGTGAATTTGATTATTTTGTGTACTAGACCATCAATATTAAAATTATGAAATTAAAATAATTTTAAGATAAAAGTACAAATCGGAAGTATGTATTACATACAATAGCTAATCGAAACCAACAATATGAAATAAACAACAAATGTTATGCAATTTTAAAGTCTAATCCAACAATATAACTTGTAAACACGAACAATAATTAAACAACAAAAACTGAGTAGAAAATAAATAAAACTAAATAATTTAATTATATAAAGTAATTTTTGTTTCAAATTATTAAAGCACTATTGTCACTTATCACTGTTACAAATATAAAACAGTTTGGGAAATATTACAGTTTCCATTGCATCAAGTGATATCCAACTATTCATCACTAAGCTATTTATTTAGAAAATGACCAAAGATTATTTTTTCCCCTCTGATAATATACATAATGTGTTAAATTGTATGCGAAAAACATTGTCGACGTTTTTTGAACAAAATGAAATAGATAATTTTATCAAAACTGTAATTTACTATTATGTTTTAAAATATTTTACATAGTTCTAAAAAAAAAAAAAAAAATAACGGATGTTTATTTTTCTGATACAATTAAAAAAGAGATTATGGTGTGCATATAAGTTAAGAAATATTTCGTTACTGTTTTTAAATGTTAAAAGGCTAACTTCTTTTAAATATTTAAAAACTATAGATGATATTATTTACTTTACTTTTCAATTAGTATACAAAACACGTAAATTTTTAGATAATACATTCATTGCTGGTCTTTGGAAGAAGCTTCATTTACTGATTCGTCAACAAAGTTTCTGAGTTTATTTGCTATAATGTTAAGTGCATGCTTTCTGATCCTTTAGAGTTGTAAATATATGAATATAACTTTTTGTACCGAATGAAAGAACAAACAATTTAATTTTAATAGCTCGCCATAAATTGTATTAAATACTATTGATAATTTACATTTTTTTTATAATATAGCTTATTTTTGAGCTATAGAAAAATTTATAAAACATCCTTATAAGTTGCCGAGTATTCTGATTACAATAGTTACGTGTATTTTTCAACGCGCTGTTCTCATAAATGAACGGTATCACTGATAAAAAACCTCAGTAAAATCAATAAATTTATTGTAAATATATAGCCGACAATCATTTTTTGTAGGTTAAACAAATATTTTTATTAATAAAAATGTATCGAGCAAACAAGTATTTTGTTCCAATAACAAAATATGATTTAACAAAAAAATTGTCCAACGTATTTTCTTTTGGTGTAGTGCGGGTCATGTTAGGTTGGTACCAGCGATGATCATTAGCTAATGATCATCTCGGTGTGACCACAAAATTCACCGCTGACACCCACCGAGTACTTGTCAGCGGCCGGCGATATCATTTTGCCTTTTAGTAGCAGGCAGCGGCTATCAAAAAGTCTCGTGACCACTGACGCTGGTCATCAGCACTGTCTGGACCAGACAATGTTATTTTCAGCGCAGCAGCAGCGAGTAAAACTACACGTGACTGTGTATCATTTTACGCCGTATAGTTTACTATTATTCTTAA